AGATCCCACTCCCAGGTGTGTACGCCCCGGAGAATTGGAAACACGTGTTCCCACCAAAACCCGTACACGGCTGCTCCGTAGCGGCATTATTATGTGTGATAGTCAAGAGGGGAAAACAGCTCTAATTCCACCCACTGGGAAATGGCTACACAAAGCGTGGTACATTCAAACAATGGAATTGCATTCGGCCATAAAAAGGAATGAACCTTGAAAGCATTATGCTGAGTAAAAGCGGTCTGACGAAAGGCCACATAAATATGATTCCATTTATATGGAATGTCCAGACTGGGCAAAGCCACGGAAAGTCAGTTAGGGGCTAGAAGAAGGGGGATGATTGGGATTAACTGAAAATCAGTACGAGGTTCCTTTTTGGGTGATAAGAATGTTCTGGAATTGGATAGGAATCATGTTTGCACAACACTGGATACACTAAAAAGCCACTGAATTATGCACGCTAAAATCATTAAAATGGAGAATTTGGTGTGATGTACATTTTTATATCAATTTAAAATTTTTCCCCGGGTTCCTGGGCCAGCTCCACAGGATTATAATTGCAGAATAGGGTCTTAAACCCATCCTCTCACACTGGGTTACCATTGCAGAATTTGATACTCACCCCTATCACTGCCAGCTCAGGTCAGCCTGGTCTGGGGGGCAAAGGGTTGACACCTCCCACACGCCCTACCTCCGCTATACTCAGTTGGGGTGGCCCGGGTGGGGTCCTTCCCGCTGATCCCCTTGTCAGTGAGGGAAATCCATGTTTCACTCCGGTCTTGTGAATATTTCTAATCTTTGTTCAAAGCAGGTGGGATGGGGTGTCCTTCTTGCACCTGCCCCTCACTCTCGAGGGCTGAGGGTCCCTCGAACTCAGTGGTTCTCAACCTCCGGGCCCTTTAAATACAGTTCCTCATGTTGTGACCCAACCATAAAATTATTTTCATTGCTACTTCATAACTGTAACGTTGCTACTGTTATGAATCGTCATGTAAATATCTGATATGCAGGATGGTCTTAGGCGACCCCTGTGAAAGGGTCATTCGACCACCAAAGGGGTCTCGACCCACAGGTTGAGAACCACTGCTCTAACTCCTCCTCCATCCCCTCCCAGGAGGCAGCCTCTCAGGCCTCCGGAGTTGTTGGTGCCCGAGAAGGAGGCAGCCATTCTGAGGGCGGACATCTGGCGAAGAGATGGGGTTTCTCTGCCAGCATGGGAAGGCCAGCCTAGCAAGATGTACCAGCCTGCTGCGGGAGCCCCCCCCCCCCCCCCCCCCCCCCCCCCCCCCTACCAATATCCATCCTGATGTTACGGGCCCATGTCATGTGGGCCTTTCGGTTCTTGGTCCTCTGAGACATGAATTCACTCACTCACTCATCCATTCATTTCACAGCAACCTCAAGTCTCCCCAATGCCCATACCCGCTGCTCATCACTCTCTCACTTTTCTTCCCTTCCTTGGGTACAGAACATGATCATATACCACTGTCACTCTGAGCAGGAGACCTTTAAAGGTTAAAGAGACTTTTAAGCTCTTCCAAATTAAAGTGAATATAGAGGCCTTGTCCTTAAAACTTTCTATGCTGACGAATATGTCGTGGCACATATAAAGAGAACTTTAAAAGCCGACGGGAAGGAATACAACACAATGGCTGCCAAATTGGGGTCCATTTATATGCTGGGATGAATAGGATGAACTCCTATTCCTCCGTCAAAACCCCACCGGACATGACCTGCTAGAGGAAGCCTTCCCCAAGCCTCCTACACGGGGTTCATGAATCTCTCAGCGTATTTCCCATCCTTTGTACCATTCGTTATGGGACATATTCGTTATGGGACATATTCCCCTCACTTTTAATGTGTCTTCCTTTTCCCTCCATTCTCCCCTTTGTAGACGAAGGTTCTGCAATGCATCTCCAGGCAAGGATGCTGCTCAACGCCCTACAGTGCAGCCCCCACCACAAAGGGTCCCCCAACCAAATGTCAATAGCGCTGAGCGGAGACATCCTGAGATGACCCAACTTAGACTCCCATCACCACACGCATGTCCACTCACACACATGCGCACGCACACACACAGGACAGCATCCAGACCTACGCTCTCATCCCCCAGGTGATTTGAAGAGACCTACAGGCAAAGGGGAGGCGTAGGAGGGAAAAAAAAAATAAGGCAAGCCCCGCCCACAAACGTACCACAGTCACCATTAACGTCATATTTATTGTTATTTAGCTGCTCAGGAAAACATATACAGGTATATACAATATGCATGAATACAGAAGACTGCACTTTACATATTTTTTTTTAAAAAAAGAAAGAAAAAAATAACACTCAATTTCATGAGCTATTGTCACAGTCTTCCAACCAAGCATTTCAGAAATGAATTTCTTCTTAAGAGTCAAAAAAGATTACAGGATTGCCTAACACACAGCAGAGTTAAGTTTTCATATTTTACATGTGCAATAACGTTTTTCATTTTCTATTCCCGAAGAGTTTTGCTATGCAGTACCAATTACCAGTGTTTGGAATCTCGTGGGCTGGGTGTGTTTTTAATTTGCTTTTATTCTTTTCCATTTAAACCAAATTTAATGAAATAACATCCTTTTGCTTAAGGCTATTTTTAAAGCTGTTCCATTCTGGGGTCCGGGTGGGGGGAGCGAGAAAGTTTTAAACTTCAGGGGTTTCTGAGGTTGCGAAGACCACAAGCTCATGGCCAAGGGCCGATGGACTCGACGCTGGGAAAGTCAAAAAGACAGAAGTCAAGACGCTTGGCTCCCCGGCCTTAAGCAATTGAGGAGAAACCATTCCTGTTTTTAAAAAAAATAAAATGATGAAGCGCTCAAACAGCTGTACACGGCAGGATGGGAGGGGGTGTGGGGTTTTGCTCTGACTGGCTGATTCCCCTGCAGCCAGCGACAGCGGGGGGCGGGGGGGGGCGGGGGACGTCTCCCCCCTTTTCTCTCCTTTCGACCTGAATCAGCTCACACACCTTCTTCTGATAACTTCACTCCGCCTGCTTCGGCCTGCCCTCGGCGGGCGGGGGGGTCAGCCCCTGGTCACACTGTCCAGACTCCGACCCAAGCCAAAAGGCCAGCAGAAGGAGAGAAGCGGGGGGCAGGGGGGTGGCTATGGAAAGAGCAAGATTTTTCTGGAAGCTCTTCTCCCCTCCCTTGGCTGAAAAGTTTTTTGAAATAAACAATGTGGGTGTTGTATGGTGAGCCCAAAGCCTTCAGGTCACTTGCTAAAAAAAGCCAGGTCTGCAAACTCTGGGGACCTGGGGAGGGGGGAGGGGGGGGCAAAAGGGGAGATGAGATAAGGCTCAAAATGGGGCATGGTTGTTAACAAAAACCAGTAAAATATGGGCCGCCAATTTGGGTGGAATGATACCATCACTTCCTATCTGACCCACCTTGGAATCTCAGTGACCCCCCCAATCCCCAAGGTTATTCAAGACCCTCATAAGCATCAACAGCACCCCGAGGTGCCTGCTCCTGTCACCCTGAGCCTCTGGTGACCACACTCAGGGAGGCCCAGGGAGCATGCCTTGCGGGGTCCAGGAGCCCCACTCGCCCAGCCCCCCTCATCACTTCTCAGAAAGTTAATTCTCCATGAGACACATGGGATGTGGCTCTGATTTTGCAATAGAGTGAGATTAAGTCAAAAGGGGGGGAGGCGGAATTCCAGGGTTCAAAAAGCAAGGCCCAGGTATCCAAGTCATGAGTTATATCCTCCCTCTGACCCCCAGCAGCCTGCAAAACCCAGCAAACAAAAAAAAAACAACAAAAAAATTCCCAGGCTTGGAGAGGGGGGCTCAGCAAGCTGAGCCTGGGGCTCCCTCCTTCTTTCCAGAGATGGGGGGTTGCCCAGGTTGGAGGTGGTAAAACAGATCAGAGTGGGGACCCATGAGAACAGGTGGGGGAGGTACACCCAGGCGCCCCGCCTCCTTCCCTAGGGCTGCCTGGCTGGGAACAGCTGTCACCAAAGGTCAACGGCTCAGCATTGATTCGCCCCCAACTCCAGCGCCCAAGCCCCAGCGGCCGGAGCCCCCCCACCCCAGAGACTCTGCAGGCTCGAAGGCCCCCATCCCCCATGGCTGCTCAGCATAGCGTGACAATTCGGAGCCCGGGCATTTGTGGAGAGGCCCAGAAAAGGAGAAAAAAACGCCGCTGTCAAGCGTTGTGAGTCCTTCCCGCAGAGCGGGCTGGCCACGTCACCACCTCGGTGCAGAGAGGGGCGGCCTCCAGCAGAAAGCTGAGCGTGTGTTTGCAGGGAAGAAAACCTCTCTCTCTCTCTCTCTCTCTCTCTCTCTTCTTAGGGAACAGACAAAACAAAATCCCCGGTGGAATACCTAAGGGGGGCATTCATTGTTTGGCTCCCGCCTGACTGATGACAGTTGGATGTCAATATATAATATTGTGATGACAATTTGACTTCCACCCGGCAATATTCCAGGACTACTCTTCTCCAGGATTTCCATTTTAATAAGCAGTGAACAAAGCAAAAAAAAAAAAGAAAAAAAGAAAAGAAAAAAAATAAAGAGGGGGGGGGAAGGCGGAGGTGCGGGGGGAGGAACAAGAATAAAAGAGAATAAAAAAGGAAAGCGACTCTTGTCTTATTATGAAATAACAATACTTGGACATACAGCAGCGTGGAAATAAAACAAAGGGAGGGGCCATCTAAAAAACCGTACGCCAAGATGACAGGAAAACGGGAATTATCTAAGCAAGGAAAAGGCTTAAGCAAAAGTTTGCTAACTGCAGAAGGGTTAATTTAACACTGGTAACATACTGTGGCAGACAGTTTCTCTTTAAAAAAAAAAATGTTTGAGGTTGTTCTTTTTTTTCCCTTTTAAATTAACCCTTTCCGGTCCATATGCCACTATGCAGGTATCAATCTAGAAAATAATTCATTCACTCAGCAA